GCCCCCCCGCCCCCCCCACCGCCACCGCCACCGGCTGAGCTGACCAATGGGCTGGTGGCACTGCCCAGCCGGCTGCGAAGGATGAATGGCAACAGCTACGTGCTCCTGAGGCAGAGCAACAATGGAGTGCCAGCAGGGCCCTGCTCCTTCACTGAGGAACTCAGCCGCATCCTGGAGAAGAGGAAGCACACGCAGCTTGTAGAGCAGCTAGATGAGAGCTCTGTCTGAGCCCAGCCTCCCAGGACAAATGCTCTTCTTCCAAGCCAGCCTGTCTGCCCCGTAGGGCTGCTGCCTCCCCAATACAGCCACCCTGCCTTCACACATCCCCACTCCCCATGCCCTTCTCCCAACTTTTTGATGTCCCTGTAGGGCTGGTCAGAGTCAGGCCCAGCCAAAGCCCCCTCCTCAGTCTCCACAGACCCACATGTGAGCAGCCCAGACCTGCTGGTGCTCCTCAGAGGTAGGTGTTCCTTTAGGACCAGGTGCTCTGTAGACCTAAACCCAGTTCCTATACCCTTAACCTAAATGCTTGGGAGGAGAGGACTCACTGCATCCTCCTGTCCCATTCTTCTGTCCAAACCCTTCCTCTTTCTCCTAGCAGGGCTCTGCAGGTCCAGATGGCCTCAATGTCACCACATTCTGCATGGCCCTGTGTAGATGGTTCTGAAGCCAGACAACTTTGCCAGCCATCTGAGCCCTGTGTACACTCAAATGAGCACATGGAAGAATGTTTATCAGCTGGGCTGCAGTGCCCCCGCCCCCATCTTATCCTGGTGCATTCTTGTGTTTCATCCCTTCTCCTGGACTTGGGGGTGCCTTCCTAATTGCCACATCCCTATCTAGTCCACTTCCCCAGACCCAGCTCCATGTGGTGACCTCTTTGGCAAGAGCTTGGGAACAGGGCAGCCCGGGGAGGTAAGGCTACATCATTCCCCTCTTCTCCTTCCTGTGCAGCCCTTGTGAGTCAGCCTCCCCTCTCCCTTTGGTCACTTTCAAGAGTAACAGAGCTCGAGGCATGTCCTTTCCCATGCACATGTGGTAACACACACCTGTATCACCTATGTGCTTACATTTCCACTCATATCACCTTCTGAGCCTCCCCTTGCTGCCTCAGACACGTTAGGTGTGGTTTGTGGACATTTCAGAGGGAGACTCCCCTCCCATTCAGCTGTCCTCATGGACCCTTCCCTAGGACAGGTGACCAACACTGCACTCAATGAGCCAGCCTCCCTTTTGGGGACCAAGCATTTGCTTCCCCTAGACCAGAACAGGGGAAGGGAGATCTGATGTCTCAACTGGCACATGAAGCCCGTTCTTGGAACTATGCAAAGGGCAGAAGCTGGGAGTTTGAATGCTTGGCTCCCACCCCTGTCCTACCTCACCGGGGCACTTTCAGGGTCCAGGGGCCTATCAAGTCTCTAGGCCCATAGGGACAATCAATCCTGAGTTCCCCGTTCCCCTTGGGTGAGGATGACTGTTATTTTTGTAGCTGAGAACGTGGAATCTCACAGGTTTTTACTGCCCTTCACCCAACCTCTCCAACCTCCACCCCACAATGAATGTATTTATTGTGAGAATGGCTACAATTCTTTAGGAATGCCCCCACTCACCAACCAGGTGGGCGGGACAGGCACATGACAGAGTGGGGAGTCTGGGCGCAGCTCCTCCCCCTGTAAGTTAATAAATACCCTCTTTCCCCACAGCTATGGTCTGTTTGGTCTACAATGGCTTTCCCCTGATAACCAGGGCACAGGTTCCAGAGCCTATGGAAAAAGTGCTGCAATGACTTCTGCATCCAGGGTTGGCTCTGCTCCCCATAAAACCATTGGCAGAGAAAACTGGGATCCTCAGCTTCCATCCTGGCTGTCCTGGGCAGGCACACAGGCCCTTTTACTAAAGCTCACACTATTCATTGATTATGGTGATGAGGACATGACAAGAAAATTACAACAGTTCAAGAATTCACACATGGATTTCTAGAATTTTACTTCCTCGTTCTCTTTTCCTCACCATCCTCCCTTTTTTTTTTAACTAAGCCTAGAATATACTTAAAGATACCTTCTAGAAGATACCCCTTATTTATCAGCCCTCCTGTTCTTCAAGCTTTCTAGCAACCCCAACCCCTGCCCCCAAAAGGAACACATGGATTCATTTCTGCACAAAGAGGGACAGGGTAGGGGGGTAGCAGAGGAGACTGCAGCTGAGACCAGGGAAAGCTTGTTACCAGGGACCTTTTCTGAGAATCACTTCCCCCAGGGGTCAGGCCTAGATTAATCGCATGGCCTTTGACATTAACCACCTTTAAGAGTTGTTTTATGTTCTGGTTTTAGAATAATGAAAAATAGGTCTTATACTTACAATATTCACATATTTTGAAGTAAGACTTCAAGTGTGACCTTGGTTAAATTTTATTAAGTTCAGTTTTCTAATCTATAAACAAACATTCACAGAGATATAGTGTCTAGCCCAATGCCAGGCCTGCAGCAGAGAACAGCTCTCACTAGTTCAATGGTTGTGCCAACAGGACATCAGGGATTCTTCAGAAGCCAGCTTGGAGACCCCTCACTGTGTTTTGAGATCACTATTATCAATTTGGACTTTAGAAAAGAGGGCACTATAAAACCCCTGAAGGCTCTCTCATCTCAAGTTTCAGGGATGCCAACCAGCTAAGAACTATGGGACTCACAAGGTCAGTGCCCCTAGCAGTGGGCACTGGAAAGAGGCAGCTCTTTTTTATCCCAAACAAAACCTTTGGCGTCTATTTCTCCGTTGGTGGGCTCCATTTGTCTGCCTGGGCTTGGAATCTCAAAGAGAACCACCTCTACTGCGGTAATGGTCCAACGCCTGGAGTTTAAGTTGGTGGGGCAACGCTTCATTGTGTTTGCATGTGGGCTGGGGCAGGATCCTGGACCTCTCGGGGGCGTAGCCCACAGAACGTTGTCGGTTTGTTGGTGAAGGGGTGCCACTGGCCCTGGATGCTAGGGCTGTCCGTGTGGAAGGGCTTGCGGATGCGGATTACGTCCAAGCCCGACTGGTCTGCCAGCTTCTGCACCAGTGTCGCTATCTCCTCGACCGACTTGCAGGGGATGCTCTCCTCGCGCACAGCTCCGTTAACTGGCAGAAAGGAGGTGGGAGTGAGTGGAAGCGGGCGGATCACATGTCAGACGAGACGGAGGCTAGCGGGCCGAGCCCCTGATCCCACCCTGCCGCCCTACCCGGCCCCACTCACGGTATTCGGCCACTACTCTGGGGACGTAGCACGGCCGCAAGTTCACGTATATTACGACCCCTGGGTTCCGTCGGGCGAAGTCGGTCACCTCCCGTTCCACGAACTCCCTGAGGGACCGGGGAAGGGTGATCACTGTGATCCCTGACCTTCGGCGACCTCTGCCGGGAGTCGTTACCACCCCCACCCTCACACCCGCCCCCGCCCGCGCACTTCCCCCAGCTCACCTGGCGCAGCGGGACGAGGGCGCGTCGCGGCTGAGGCTGAAGCTGAGACGCTGCAGTTGCTGCACGTAGCGACCCAGGCCGTTGTGGAGGACACTGGTCAAAAAGCGGCTCGGAGTCCCACGTGCCGTCATGGCTACAGCTTGGAGGCCTCGGAGCCTAGCAGGGAGGAGTGGGGCGGGATTAAGCCCTAGGCTTCCGGTTCCGGAGACATCCGCTCCCGGGAGAGTTTTGCTTCCGAGGTCAAGGCGAGTTCCGCGTGCGGATGGCTCAAGGGGCGGGCGAAGAGTAAGATGAACCTGGTGACCGGGAGCCAGGGTTAGGAGCCGCGGGGCTCCTAGTAGTAGAGCGGGAAGAAGTCACGGGGGAGGATAGAGAGGGCGGCATCCCTTTGGGCTCAGAGATTGGCACGAGTCGTGTAGTGGCGCTCTTAGCGAGTTGAGGGTCCCAGTGAGGGGAAGGAGCAGCAAAGAGGGGCTCTAGGTGGGGCCTAGAGCAGAGGGACTACAAAAAAGGATGCAGATGACTGTAGACACGAGGATGAGGACATCCCGTGGAGAGGAAGTAGAGGTGAGGAGATGATATAGGGAAGCTATATCGGTGTGGGGCTGTTTAGAGGGTTATAGAGGTGAGAATGGCGGAGAGAAACCCTAAGGGACTTGGCGGTAAGGGAGCCATTATTGAGATATACAGACGTGAAAGTGTCGTGTAGATGGGCATAGATGCGAAGTAGCGATATAGAAGGGCTGAAGAGGATTCAGGGATGTTTATGAGGGAAAAATCTGAGGAGGAAAAAATTCCACCTAGAGTGAACTCTGTAGAGTGCTGTATGGAGGATCCTTAGGTTCCGGCCTAGTGAAGGCACCCAAACCAGGCACGTAAGGCATTTCAGGTAGTGACTTCCCCCATTTGGCTAGGAATGTGGGTCCTCCTCCGAGGTGGATACCCCCTCCGGATCTTGCTGTCTCCGCGTGGGGAGTGGATGGGTCGGAGAGGCCTGCCCCGAAACTTGGTCCCGGGCCCTCCTCGCAGACGCTACAGGAAGGAGGCTCTCCCAGCCTTGGAGGCACCAGTTTTGCCTGTAACTGCAACTGAAATCCGCCAATATTTGCGGGCACATGGGATACCTTTCCAGGATGGCCACAGCTGCCTGCGGATACCGAGCCCCTTTGCAGGGTCCTCGCAGATCAAGGACCAGACTGGCGTTACCACTTCCTTCAGCCTCTTCATTGACAAGACCACAGGCCGCTTTCTCTGCATGACTAGCCTAGCAGAGGGGAGCTGGGAAGACTTCCAGGCCAGCGTGGAGGGACAAGGGGACGGGGCCAGAGCGGACTTCTTACTTAGTAAGGCCCCAGAACCTGAGGACAGTGAGGAGGTCCGGAGGATCTGGGACCGAGCGATACCTCTCTGGGAGCTGCCTGACCCCGAGGAGGTCCAACTGGCTCGTATGATGTTTGGCCTTACCAAGGTGACAGATGACACACTCAAGCGTTTCAGTGTGCGGTATCTACGGCCTGCTCGCAGCCTTGTCTTCCCTTGGTTCTCCCCTGGGGGCTTGGGATTACGAGGCCTGAAGCTACTAGGGGCTGAAGGCCAGGGGGATGGAGTGCATTACGAGGAGACCACCATTCCCCGGCCTGGTGCCTACCACAATCTGTTTGGTTTACCACTGATCAGTCGTCGAGACATCGAAGTTGTACTGACAAGTCGTGAGCTGGACAGCCTGGCCTTGAACCAGTCCACGGGGTTGCCCACCCTTACCCTACCCCGAGGAACGGCCTGCCTACCCCCTGCCTTACTCCCTTACCTTGAACAGTTCCGACGTATTGTGTTCTGGCTGGGGGATGACCTTCGGTCCTGGGAAGCTGCCAAATTGTTTGCCCGAAAATTGAACCCCAAGCGATGCTCCTTGGTGCGGCCTGGGGACAAGCAGCCCCGTCCCCTGGAGGCCCTGAACCAAGGCTTAAATCTTTCTCGTATTCTTCGTACTGCCCTGCCTGCCTGGCACAAGTCTATTGTGTCTTTTCGGCAGCTTCGGGAAGAGGTGCTAGGAGAATTGTCGAATGTGGAGCAGGTAGCTGGCATTCGCTGGAACCGTTTCCCAGACCTCAATCACCTCTTGAAGGGGCATCGGAAGGGCGAGCTGACGGTCTTCACAGGTAACCTTTGGAAAATCACTGCTTGGAGTAAAGGGGCAGAGGATCAGGTGACAAAAGCATGTGGGTTTGGGTCACTGAACATGTTGAAGGCTTTCTCTCCCAATTTTGAAGCCCTGACCTGTGTCTTGATTTCAAGGGTAGCACTTTCCTCCTCACCCAGATCTGCGTTCAACCCCCTACAGGGCCCACGGGCAGTGGAAAGACAACATTCATCAGTGAGTATGCCCTGGATTTGTGTACCCAAGGGGTGAACACACTATGGGGTAGCTTTGAGATCAGCAACGTGAGACTAGCCCGGGTCATGCTGACACAGTTTGCTGTGGGGCGGCTGGAAGAGCAACTGGAAAAATACGATGAGTGGGCCGACCGCTTTGAGGACCTGCCCCTCTATTTCATGACTTTCCATGGGCAGCAGAACATCAGGTGAGATCCCCAGACCCCAGCCACTTTGCTTTCCCAGACAGATCTCACCACTCAGGACCTTTGGTTCCTTTTCCAGCTCCAATGGGCATTTCTTCTAGGTCTCCTTAGGCTTGGGGTTTTCAAAGAATTGGAGGGCAGGAGAACTCATGGCCAACAGAGTTGTCAGGATTCTGCTAGCTGTTCTGCCTGGGGTGATCTGGAGACTGCTTGTAATTGACTTTTGAATTCATCGTCTCTTCCTCTTCCCAGGACTGTAATAGACACAATGCAACATGCAGTCTATGTCTATGACATTTGTCATGTGGTCATCGACAATCTACAGTTCATGATGGGTCATGAGCAGCTGTCCACAGACAGGTGACATTCTTTTTTTGTCTGGCTTGAACCTGCTTCAACACACATGTCCTCTCAGGCAGCTAGCCTCTCAGTACACACACTGAGCTCTCTTATTTTTCTGATACATGTGCAGGCACAAAACACCCCATATGTATTATATAGAGGTGTGGGGTGCAGCAGCAAGAAATATGGACAGAACCTAAGTGTGAGTCCTTGGGCAGAGCGAGGTAGAGTGGGGTTGTGGTTTGTGGGGAGATGTGAATAAATCAAGAGTATGTGTGTTCTTGTCCTTCTGTCTGTTTCCAATAACCTCTTTGCATTGTTGGGGTGGGGACAGGATTGCAGCTCAAGACTACATTGTTGGGGCCTTTCGGAAGTTTGCAACAGACAATAGCTGCCATGTGACACTGGTCATCCACCCCCGGAAGGAGGATGATGACAAGGAACTGCAGACAGCATCCATTTTTGGCTCAGCCAAAGTGAGTGGCCTTTAGAAGAGCTCAAACTTTGGAGAGCAGAGGGGGCAGGTATGACAAGGGACAGCCCTTATTCAGCCTTAAATCATCTTGACTGTCCATCTGGAAGAGGCAGAAGGCAGTGCCTCTAGGGCCATAACCTGAGAAATATACAAGTGTACTTCAAAAAGTTTGTGGGAAGGGCCGGCCTGTGGCTCACTCGGGAGAGTGCGGTGCTGATAACACCAAGGCCACGGGTTCGGATCCCATATAGGGATGGCCGGTTCGCTCACTGGCTGAGCGTGGTGCTGACAACACCAAGTCAAGGGTTAAGATCCCCTTACCGGTCATCTTTAAAAAAAAAAAAAAGTTTGTGGGAAAATGGAATTAAAGGTAATATGAATCTTTCCATGAACAACTTGAAGACCCTTCATATGTGCTAAGACACAAAGGCTGATAATAGTTGGTCCTTTGTCCTCCTTGCCCTCCGGAAGCTCACATCCTCTAGTGGGGGAAACAATGAGACAATGGTTGCGACTCAGTGTGATAAGAGCTGTGACAGGTGGCACAGGTATTTGTGGAGCAAAGAGAAAAGACATATGAGTCGGCCTGGGACATCTGGGGAGACTTACCAGAGGAGATGTCAGCAAAGGTTGAATTGAGGTTTGGCAGACAGCAGGTGTTAATCAAATAAGTGGAAAGACCTGGGTAGCAGGACCAGTCCGATCCTGGAGCTTCCAGTGGTATACTCTTAGTGCCTATTACATGCCAGGCCTGAGCTGGGCACAGGGAATTCAGGGCAGGGAGCACAAACTGTGTGCCACAATGGAACAGACATGGAGCTAGAAAAGGGAATAATGCAGAATTGGAGAAAAGGTGGTGCTTTCTTTATTTGAGGGGATCGAGAATGGTCTCTGATGAAGGATGACATTTGAGTGACACCTGAATGATGAGAAGAAGCTGGGTTTGAGTGGAGTAGCCAGCTGTGGAGAAGTATTACCAGCAGAGGGAATAGCACATACAAGGTCTGACACAGCAGCTAGCTTGTCAGGGAAATGAAAGACTTGAGTGGCCCCAGCATTGTGGTCAGGAGTTCAAAGAGCTTTGGTGATGGGGGTAGTACTTTTGCCTTTCCCCATTCTTCCCACTTCTCCCTGCACCCTCAGCCTTCCTTTCTGCTTCTCTCATGCCTTCTTACTCTTACTTTTCTCCTTGTGCACCCTGTCCCCAGGCAAGCCAAGAAGCAGACAACGTTCTGATTCTGCAGGACAGGAAGCTGGTAACTGGGCCAGGGAAACGGTATCTGCAGGTGTCCAAGAACCGTTTTGATGGAGATGTAGGTGTCTTCCCACTTGAGTTCAACAAGAGTTCCCTCACCTTCTCCACCCCACAAAAGAGCAAGGCCCGGCTCAAGAAGATCAAGGATGACAATGGGCTAGTAGCCAAAAAGCCCTCTTCTGGCAAAAAAGGGGCTATGCCCCAGAACTCTTGAGACTTGCTTGGACCAGGCCCCCAACCCCTACCAGCCAGACACCTCCAGGCCTTCAAGTTAAAGGCAGTGCAGAGCTGGTCACTGAAATGAGCCTGATGGGACAGGCTGGAACATACTCTTTATTTGCCCTCTGCTAGGGCTCCTCTGTCCTACCGTCCTGAGCTGTGGGCCCTTCTGGTCTGAGGAACCTCGCCTAGGGCAGTTTTCCATAGTTAGAAAATTCAATTTAGCAGATCTTTGAGAATTTACTGTGTGCCAGGCTTTGTTCAAGGTCTTGTATATACAGCACTGAAAAGACAGATAAGGTCTCTGCTTCCACAGAACCTGAATTCTGGTGGAAGAGACGAAACAGACAATGAACAAATAAACAGAACAGTTATGCAGTGAAAAATGCTATCAAGAAAATAATGCAATAGGGTGCTTACAGGCTAGTTTAGAAAAGTGATCTGAAGGGCCGGCCCGGTGGCGCACTGCATTAGTGCGCTGCTTGGGAGGCGCGGCGGCGCTCCCGCCGAGGGTTCGGATCCCACATACAGACCGGTTCCTGCTCACTGGCTGAGCGAGGTGCGGGAGCAACGCCGAGGGTTGCGATCCTGTTGCCGGTCCTGGTCTGGTACGGGGGCGACACTGAGGGTTGCGATCCGTTGCCGGACACGGAAAAAAGACAAAAAAAAAAAAAGAAAAGTGATCTGAAAAGGTATCTGAGCGGATGGTATGTATGCTGGCCTCAACAACTACAAGGAGTGAGCCATATGAACATCTGGAGAAGGGGGACCCAGACAGAGATCCCTGAGGTGGAAATGAGCAAGTCGAATTCAAGGCAGCGAGGTCAGGCCCCCTGATCCTGGAGGGGAATAGGGGACTTCTTGCCAAAACTCCACCCTATGCTTTTGGAGCCAAAGGGTGACATGGTGGATACCAAGCCCCTTTGCTCCCCACTTTGTAGAGCCTAGTATTAGAGAGGGGTCCTAGGTGCTCATCCTAGGGCCCAAATAGGTGAGAGCTACCTCCTGCTGGATTGCTTGGCCAGAGCTGTGGAAAGAGCCTAGAGTGCCTGCCTCCTGGCCACTGATCGCATTGTATGCTGCCTCAGACAGACAGCTAGATCTAGGACTTCTTGTAGAGGCTTTTCCAGTTTTGCTGAAAAAAATTTTTTTCCATTGCCTTTGTTTCTGTGCCTTCTCTTATTTGCCCACCAGGTGTCTCCCCAGTCTATAACTGGACTTTCCTCTCAAATTGGGAGTGGATGGGTCCCCTCCCCCGCTTCCAGCCCTTGAGCTGTGAGCTCCCATGGAAGCAGGGGCATTTAAGGGCCTTCAAACCCCTCCTTTCCCTTACATCTCTTGCCTTAGGGAAGACAGGATGGTGTGTCCTTATCCCTGACTTCCCTGAAGATTTCCATGTGATTCCTGGCAGAGGTGTGGGTCACTGGGTGACATGCCCAGGCCCTGCCTGACCAGCTGTCCCTCTGTGATGTGAGCCACTCACCTCTCGATGTGGTGGACTCAGACTCAGCGTATTCTTATCTCTTCCCCCATTTCCTCCTCCAGTACCCTCTCCATATTTCTCTTACATTAACGTGTGCCAGAATTCCTTAGGGTTTGTTAAAAAAAATCCCAATTCTGGAGGTTTGAGGTTGGATACAGAAATCCTCTTTATTTTTTTGGCAGCTGGCTAATATGGGGATCTGGACCCGTGACCTTGGTGTTACCAGCATTACACTCTCCCAAGTGAGCTAACCAGCCATCCCCCAGGAATCCTCATTAATAACAAGCCCAGTAGGAGGTTATAAAATAGGTGATCCAGAGACCCTATCAGAAATACTTCTAAATGATGACATTTTCTTATCTCATTTCCTGTGATAGCCGAAGGTCCCAGTTTCCCTTTGGATTTGCCTGAAAGAGTAGTATGAATGCAAAATGTCCTGAGGGGGCTGGGAAGAAGCCTTTTGTAAGGGGGGGGGGGGGTTTCCTGCTCACTGGAAGCAGGGCTGCCTTGACAAGGTCTTCCTGTCAACCTAAGGGGGGCCTCTGGGACCCTGTGGAAGGATCTGCGGTCTCTGATGTGTAGTATGTAAGAACTCTGGCCACAAATGTCTCCTTAAATTCTGGAGCAAAGCTGCTGTAAAGCTGTTCTCTGTGAGGAAAAACCTTGGGGTGGGGGTAACTCCTCCAGGGCCTCTCTTCTTGGGGGTCTCTCCCAGACTGGCTGGAGCCAGGCCTCCCTAATCCTGCAGTAATCATTCCCAGCCGTTGGCTGCTCTAGGCCTCATCCAGGATAACTCTGAATGTCAGCCATGCCTTCCAGATACACAACAGCAGATCAATCCCACCTATAAAGATGTAGGTTCCACATTCTGGTCTCCCTAGAATGCCTGGTGTGTTCTCAGGAAATCTTTTAGAGATTTCCATTAGGGGACCTTTGTTGGTTTTTTTTGTTTGTTTGTTTGTTTTAAAGATGACCGGTAAGGGGATCTTAACCCTTGACTTGGTGTTGTCAGCACCACACTCACCCAGTGAGCAAACCAGCCATCCCTATATGGGATCCGAACCCGTGGCCTTGGTGTTATCAGCACCGCACTCTCCCGAGTGAGCCACAGGCCGGTCCCCATAGGGGACCTTTGTGAAGGCTCTACGTGAACTGTGGGTAAAGGGATAGATACTTGCCTGTTTGTCTTGCCCAGCTCTCCTAGCAGACACCCGCACATAGCACAAACCAGAATGATGAGGGGAGGGGAAACTAATGCTCCCTGGCCCCACCCCCTACACAAAGACATTCCACTGGGTATCTGCCTCAAACTCCCCACATGGAGATCCAGCCCAAAATATGTTCAGGAGTCCCCAGAGCCTAGAAAGCAGTGGGTGATACCTAGGGCTGGTGTAAGGTTTCTGGGAGCCACTGTCCATGTATCCAGCCAAAGTGGCTGAAGGCTAGCTGGATAGCTCAGTTACAGCTCGGTGTTAACAACACCAAGGGTCAAGGGTTCAGATCCCAGAACAGGCCAGCCACCAAAAAAAAAAAAAATGACTTGAGTCAAATTACCTGGGGTAGGGCCATAGGACCAGTAATCTGCCTGTGCCCAACTGGAATGTTAAGAATCTCTCTCAGAGCTCTAGAAGGGTCTCACCAAGCAGGTCTTGTTGAATCTGCAGCCCTGTCCTCAGGTTGACAGTGTATGTCACACGTGGCTGTGAGAAGGGAACTTCAGCCCTCCAGCAGCTTCCTTTCTACTGTGAATGAGCTTGAAGAGACTAAATCCTCACCCAAGTACTCAAGCTGCAGATATTGCCCAGATATCTGCAGACCTGTGCTGCCTTGAGTGCCACAAGAAGGAGGGAGCTCTTGGTGCCTCCCTGCAATACAGGCGAACTTCCTGTTTGTGCCTGTGGGTGGGTCTTAATGAGTCTAAAGGAAGCCTAGCTATGCCCTGTGGGGGGCCAGAACTGGCAGGCCTGCTCACCTAGGCAGACACCTATTCCAGGGAAAGGGGCGGTGCTGGTTCTGCTTGGGCAGCCCCAAGGCCAGGTGTGCATATAGTGGGGTGGGGGTGGGGAAGTTGTTTTGGTGAAACCCGAGCCTTTGTCAGCTTCCCAGGGGTTTTCCCGTGTTTGGGGAGTGGGCTGAGAGTGGGTCGGGTTGGGCTCCCCACGGAGCAGGGAAGGGTAGCAGAATCAAGCCCGATAGCCAGCTTAGAGCTGCCAGGTAGCTTAGATCTCGATCACATGCTGCTCGCCCCTTTCCACAGGTCGAAAGACAAATCCAGTTAACTGTGAAGTCAGAGGCCAGAGGAGCAGCCTCGGGCCACCGTGGAGGCTACTGCTGGTCCGGGTACTGGGTCAGCTGTTGAGGGGGTGCTAGACAGACCACTCCCCTCCCCGGGTGGGGGGCGCGGCCTCAGCTGTCCCGCCCAGCTCCACCAGGTCCGGCCAGGCGGGGGCCCGAAGTCCGGAGCCCGGAGCCCGGATCCCGGAGCGAGCTGGGGAGCCGGCGTTCTCGAGGCGAGGTGGGCACGCTAGAGCAGCAGCTGGGCCGCAGCCGGAGCAGCGGCGCAGGTGGCGCTGGGTGAGTGGTGGGGTGGCGGAGATGCAGGAACTCCCGCCTCCCGCACATCCCTGCTCCGGAGCGAACTTTCTAGGGAAGCTGGGGGATGCGGTGAGTTGGGGATCCCCACTTCGTGGGGCGCAGGCGAAGAGTCTGAACAGGGAAGCGACACAGAAACTCACACCGACTGGCCCCACACACGCGTGCACACAGACCCACGCATGCAGTCAGGACACGTGCGCTCGGAAGGTGCGCGCCCAGTGGGTTACCCTCGCAGTTCCAGGGGCAGCGCCACCGGCCCGCGTGGACCCCTAGCGGGCAGGGCGCTCTGCTGACGCGTATTTGGTGGGGAAAAGCGGCTGCCCAGTGACCGCCGACCGGGGGGGCGGGCCGGGTGGGACGTATCCGGCGGTTCCTGCTTCCCGGCCGCCCGCAGGTGAAGACTAAGACGTAAACAGGCGCCGAGCACGTGACCGCTCCGTAGACAGTGGGCTGTGCTCCCCTGACCCCACCACAGGGCGGGAGCCCCCTTCCTCCACCCCCTCCCCTCCCCTCCGGAGTTTACTTGCCCCCAAAGCCGGCGCCCCTCCAGCAATGTTAAGCCCTCTCCCAGAAATGGGAGCACAACGCCCCCTGGAGCCGGGGTGGCGCAGGAGAACGGGAGACTGTTGGGCTGGGGCGGGGTCACTTGGGCTCCTCCCCTTCCTTCTCCCAAGCACATTCTTGTCCCCATCCCTAAAGGTATCGGAGAGAGGCCCTTGATGGCAGTGGACAGCTGCCCCCGCCCCTTACCCCCAGCCCAGGGAGCGGCTGCCTGAGCGCCTGTGAGTCCACTCCCTAGCACCACCTCCACCCCTTGCGGAGCCGGGAGCTCCTCCTTCCGATGCAGGAGCAGAAAGCCCACCCACGGAAGACTGGGAGTCCCCCTACCCCAGGGAATGCATGATTATAAACACCCCCTCAATACCCCCCCCCCCAGTAGAAAGGAGAACTAGCCCCCTCCCCCCGGGGAATGAGGGAGTGGGCAGCAGCCCTATGCCTCACTCCCTGCCCCCCACTCCTGCACACAAGCGGAGCCCAGCTGCTGCCTGAGCTGGGCAGGCTGCCAGAAAGGGGAGGAGGCTTTTGGTGTCCCCAGGAGGCAGGGATCAGGGCAAGGCCAGAGGAGGGGGTCTGTACGAGGGAGAGGGACTCAATCCGTCCTCCTAAGGCTGAGGGTCTGGGGTGATCCTGACGGTGGCTGGGCTGTTTCCCTTTCCAGGGAAAAAGAAAGAAAAACAACCCTTTCCATAGAGCTAAAAATAGAGCTGAGAGCCGGCCAGAGCTGTAGCCTGGAAAGGGGGGGATGCTCCTTCCTGGGGCGGAGCAAGCTCTGGCAGGCCTTGGCCCTGCGGGGGGGTGCGTTAGGAGGAGGGAGGCTGTCCTTGCCCGGGGTACGGGCATCTGCTAACCCGACCAGGCCACAGAGACCCCTACGGGAAAGTCTGTGTGGTAGAATGTCTGTGGAATATGATGCAGATGCGTAAGAAGTTGTCTGTGTAAGTGACTGTCAATAAGACTGTCAATGTGTGAAGGATGATTAGGAGACTGTGACAGGGTGCGAAGGACTGCGAGTTGTGAGTGAAAGACTGTGCACAACAGGCCTGTGACACCAAGTGTGTCTCTGTGAGTTGGTTTGGAAGATTATGGGAAGAAGCAACATGGAACCACGTGACGGATGAGACTGTGATTGTGGCTGCATGAGACTGAATGTGGGAAAGGTCGTGTGGGTGTTAAGATTGTGTTGTTTGCGAGAGGCTGAGAATACTTGTGACTTGGGAAAGACAGTGGAATGTTGACTGCTGTGAGGCTGGCCTAGGCTTGGACTGTAGATTTGGACCGGTTCAACCCAGTGATTGTTGGGGGTCCAGAGACCGCCCGTCTCCGAGCAATGACCTCTCTTAGCAAATGACAGCGAAGGAAGGTTCGGGAGCACAGAGCTGCGCCAGGGGCAGGCCGGGGCTCGCGGAGGAGAGGGCGCAGTGTTGGGGAGTGGGATAGGGACCCTATGGTGGGGGCGACGGTGTGTTCTCCGAGCCGGCCGGCAGGTGGCGCCGCCTCTGCAAATCCTGGTGTGCAGCCTCCGACCCGCTGGGGGTGGGGCAGGCAGGGACTCGGCCTCGGCCCCCGACTTGTGCTGGGGCTCAGGGCCCCAGCAGCCGGAGATTAGGGGCGGGGGGCAGCTGACCCTCGGCCTCCCACTCTGGACTCTGAAGCTGGAGAGTGTGTCTGGAGGAGGCTTCGCCTAGAGGAGCGGAGGGGGAGGGGCAGCCGCCGCCGCGCCTTGGCCCTTTGTGCTTGAACAATGACCAGCTGCCGCTGGCCCCGGGGCCCCGGCTGGGGTAGAAGGTGACCCGCCACCGGGAGTCCCGAGCCGGCTGAGCCCCTAGACCCATAGTTGCCGGGCCTTGGAGGGAGGGAGCCTGCTTGCCATCGTGAAGCCCCTCCGTGCGCTCCGGCGGACACGCGTGACGTGGGGTGCTTGCGCGTGTCCGCGCCCCGGGGGCGGGGACGCCCCTCGGACCCCTCCCTCGCGCTGCACCGCCTACTCGGGCCTGGGGGGGGCTGGCCTGGGCCGGGGGCGCCGCGGAGGTGGAGACAGGGCCGGGTCCGGCCGCGGCAAGTGGCTGCGAGCGGGCTGGAGCCGGGCGGCGCGCCTGTGGAGCGCCTGGGGGCGGCCCGGGGCTGAGCATGGAGCAGCGCGGCGGAGGTGAGGGGGGGCCAGGGCTGGGAGGCGACCTGGGGGCACCCCCAACTTCTGAGCGGTGAAGTCCCGTGGGGAGGCGGCGTTCCATGGCTGCCCCCACTTTAAGAAGAGGGGATTGGACTTTTGAGTGTGGGTTTGGGGGCTCCCGGCTGCGTGTCTCGGAATGGGAACTCGCGATCCCAGACTTGATTTCTCTTGACTGGTCCTTGGAATTTGGGGATGGAGAGACTTTCCCCAACTCTTCAGCCCCCAAAACTGAGGGCTGTGAGATCAAGGGCCTTGGTCAGACCCCTCTCTGGCCCTGGCTGAGCCCCAGGCCTTACTTAGCTCCCCCAGCCCACTAAAGAAGAGGGGTCCTGTGCCCGAGTGATTACTCAGGGAGTGCTGGGGAGAATGAGGGGCTCCCTTTACCCATAGCCACAAACGCATTTCTCAAAATGGAGCCTCCACTTGCCCCTCCTTCTCGCGAGCGGGAGCCTGGCTGGCTGGGGCTGGATTTCCAGACGCCTGGCTCGGGCTCCAGCTCCTTGGGTGTCTGGCTTTCAGGGCCCAGCTTTATGGCACTCTGGATTTAGGGGCCCTTGGCTCACTGTTCTGCCTGTCCGTCTCCTTGTCTGCCTGGCCCTCCAGGCCTCTCTGAGTCTTTGTTTCTTGTCTTTTGGGTCTCTGTCTTTCTTTGAGTATCTCCTCCCTTCAGTTTTCACTTTCTCTGTGCTCACTGAAGTGGGGCAGTCAGAAGTGCCAGCCCTCGTGGCTCCTGAAGAAGCCCCTTCCCCACTGTTCTCTCTATGCTCTGGAGTGGTCCTGGAGAAGGGGAGGGGAAGGGTATTTTACATCTGCTTTGCTGAGGGCTGGGACTTATGGGGTGGTCTCAGCCCCCAGCTGTGCAGAGTGGCCTACGATTGCTTCCTGCACACCACTCAGCCCTTAACCCCAACTGCTAGCAACTCCTCTCTCAGTCTGGATGCCTTCCTGGTCTCGGTGTCTTTCCACTTGGGTGGGGAGGATGGGGTGGGCTTCATGGAGCACAAGCAAGAAAGAAGGGGACCAGATCAGGCAAAGGAGTCAGGTAATGTGTCACCTCACCTCACACTCCAGAGAGAGAAGAAAAAGAGGCTCCCACTCACCCAATTTTCCCTACATAATATGCAGGCTCCCACCCACTTCCACACAACTTGCATTCATACAGATGCCTCTGTACACACTTGGACACACTCACCTTCCTATTCACGCACTCACGTGAGGTACACACACAGGAGTTCACACATAAACTCATGCATGTGTGAATGTACTGATACATCTGTCCAAACTATTTTCTCATATATTCACATGCATACATCACACATCTGCTAGTTACATGTGCACTTATAACGTATACATACTTCCTAATGGTGACCCCTTATTTACACACACAATTCTTGTAAGATGTACACATATGAACTCATACATATACTCATGTACATATGAATGTACGATACATGTGTCCAAACGTACAATGTACCCACTCATGATGTTTCACACACATTTTCATATACACACACAGCGTTCATTTTCATGCTCCTGTGTGAATAGTCACACACACAAATAAGTAAATGCACACACTCCTACTCCCAATTCTCTGTCCACTTCTTGGCCCCGACTCTGCATGATGACTTCAGCAGATGCCTAAGTCCTGGTCATCAGCAGCTTCAGGACTAGGGAGGGAGTTCCGGTTGGAGGCTTGCTGTCCCCTTCCAGGAAGGAGCAGGGCCTAGGGAGGTGGAGCCCTCTTGCCTGGGCTCCAGGGAGCTGAGGTCTTGGAGTGGCTGCCAGTGATGATGATGGAGCTTCTACCTTCATCCCCTCAGGGTTACTCTGGGGCCTATCCAAAGCTGGAAGTTTTCATAGAGGGTGACAGTGGGGCAGGGCCTATGTAGACTCCTTTAGGCCCAACTGATTGGGTGTGGAGAGGATAGGAATTGTCATGGAAATAAATGTGAGCCTGCATCCACCCCTGAGAGGCAGAGACCCAAGAGGGTACCTGTGGGCTCCCTAAGAGCTGTAGGTTTCTTGTTTGGCCAGTTCCACCCTTGCCGCCTCTCTGTCTGGGAGAAACTGAGGCGCAGGAGGAAGAGGCAGGGCACTGCCTGGCCCTGGCTCTTTGTTCCCTAATTACCATCTGAGTTACTGATTGCGTCCCTGAGGTTGCCTCTACCCAAACTGCTTTGTAAGGAGGTCACCTGTCTCCGGGGACCAGGGACCTGTGCCAGGAGCTGGTAGAGAGGGCTTTCTCCCTAACCTGAGTCCTGGCCTCTATGGGGGATGCAGGTTTGGGCTTGGGCCTGGGCCTCTGCTGCCAAGTGGCCCTGCATAAACACCCAGGCCTCTCATGCCCCTCATCATCTCTGCTCAGTGGTTCAGTCCTCAGTCCTGTCCAGACCAGAGTTGGGCAGTGATCTGGGGCCCAGAGAGAATTGAGGTTCATGCCAGTACTTAGAGGGAGAGCCTTGGTGGGATCAGGGCTTGTTACTGATATCGGGGTGGTGGGCGGGAAGGGGGTTGGCCTGGCTCAAGGGGTCAGGGCCTTGCGTAGGGAGGGGACTCAAGGTGGAGGGACTTTGACACTACTGCCCTGCTCACAGGTTGCCCTGGAGGCCCCTGGCCAGGCCTAAGCCTCCACCACCATGGCTATTGTGCACACTCTGCCAGTGCCACTGGAGCCTGCTCCTGAGGCCACCACTGCCCCACAAACTGCAGCCATGGGCAGCGTGAGCAGCCTCATCTCAGGCCGGCCCTGCCCCGGGGGGCCAGCTCCTCCCCGCCACCACGGCCCCCCTGGGCCCACCTTCTTCCGCCAGCAGGATGGGCTGCTGCGGGGTGGCTATGAGGCACAGGAGCCACTGTGCCCAGCTGTGCCCCCAAGGAAGGCTGTCCCTGGCACAACCTTCACCTATATCAATGAGGACTTCCGGACAGAGTCAACCCCCAGCCCAAGCAGTGACGTTGAGGATGCCCGGGAGCAGCGGGCACACAATGCCCACCTCCGTGGACCCCCACCCAAGCTCATTCCTGTCTCTGGAAAGCTGGAGAAGGTGAGCACCAGCTTTTCCGTGGGGGCCTGGGTGGAATCAGGAGCCCCCTCAGGCAGCTAGAATTTGGAAGCCTAAATAGAGGAGAAAGTGCAGGCTCCAGATTCACCACACCTGAGTTCTAATCCCAGCTCTGCTCATTCTGGCCATGTGACCTCAGGGAAGTCACTTAACCTGTCTGATCCTCAATTTCTGTATCTGTAAAATGGAGGTTATAGGTCAGCCCTCCCAGGATTGTTTTGAGAATTAAATCAAATAATGCTTAGCATAATGCCTGACACATAGCATGTACTAAATAAATGCTAGCTACTTAAATTACTGTTTCTGTACAACAGCTGTGTGTCTGACTTTGGGCAAGTCCTTTAACCTTGCTGAGCCTCCATTTCCTCATCTGTAATATGGGGATAGTGGTAACATTTTGCTTTTATGGCTGTTACAATGATTAGAGATGAACCTTTCAAATCACTTGATGTAGAGCTGACATGCAGGAGGCACTCTGCCAGTGGTAGCAATTGTTACTAATATATAGGATTGGGGACCCCAAATGGGAGGGCAGGGAGTGTGACAAGGGCTTTGCAAGATTGGTCAGCTCATCCCCAGTGTCCATGGCACCTCATTTCAGAACATGGAGAAAATCCTGATCCGCCCAACAGCCTTCAAGCCAGTGCTGCCCAAACCTCGAGGGGCACCATCCTTACCTAGCTTCCTGGGTCCTCGGGCTGCCGGGCTGTCTGGGAGCCAGGGCAGCCTGACACAGCTGTTTGGGGGCCCTGCCTCCTCCTCCTCCTCTTCCTCCTCCTCCTCGGCTGCCGACAAACCCCTGGCACTCGGTGGCTGGGCCAGTGGCTGCCCATCAGGGACGCTATCCGACTCTGGCCGAAACTCACTGTCCAGCCTGCCCACCTACAGCACCGGGGGTGCTGAGCCAGCCACCAGCTCCCCTGGTGGGCACCTGCCCTCCCATGGCCCTGGGCGGGGGGCATTGCCTGGGCCAGCCCGAGGGGCCCCTACTGGGCCCTCCCACTCAGACAGTGGCCGATCCTCCTCTAGCAAGAGCACGGGCTCCCTGGGGGGCCACATGGCTGGGGGGCTCTTGGGCAGTGGTCCCCGGGCCTCCCCTGACAGCAGCTCCTGTGGGGAACGCTCCCCACCGCCACCACCCCCTCCACCCCCTTCGGATGAGGCCCTGCTACACTGTGTCCTGGAAGGAAAGCTCCGCGACCGTGAGGCAGAGCTTCTGCAGCTGCGAGACAGTCTGGATGAGAGCGAGGCGCCCATGTGCCAGGTGTGGTCAGCGGTGATAATGGGGAGTGGCGTGGCAGAACATCCAAAGGCCCTGGGCATCCAAGGAGCATTTCCATTCGGGGGGAGGGGGGTTGGGCAGTTGCAGTTGTCACCCTACCCCCTCCCCTCCAGCTGTCTGGCTTAACCTGTAGAGCAGTAAGGAGATGGAGTGCATGGATTCCAACTCAGCACTGCCATTGTTTGGGACCTGAGCAAGTACTTAACCTTACTGAGCCTTGGTTTCTTCATCTGTAAATGGGGATATTTCTGGCTCCATAGGGTTATTATGAAGATTAAATAAGGCAAAGGATATAAAGTGCTTAGAATAATGCCTGACACCAAGGGAGTGCTATATAAGTGCTTGCTCTTGTTATTGTTGTTTCTAGTATTATCATAAAAGTAGTTACTCTTGTCATAATCATCGTTTGGTAGCATGTACCCACCCTGAGCCCAGGGCAGTGGGCCACCGTAGCAGTCAGTGAGTGGAGAGCTGGGGACAGCAAGGGCTGCAGGTTTGGGGGAGCTGCCCAGGACCAGGTCTGCCTTCTCGCCCCCAGGCGTACGAGGAGCGGCAGCGGCACTGGCCACGAGAGCGTGAGGCCCTGCGAGAGGACTGTGCGGCCCAGGTGCAGCAGGCGGCACAGCGGGCCCAGCGGGCCCAGCAGCTGCTGCAGCTGCAGGTGTTCCAGCTGCAGCAGGAGAAGCGGCAGTTGCAGGACGACTTTGCACAGCTGCTGCAGGAGCGGGAGCAGCTAGAACGGCGCTGTGCCACCTTGGAGCGGGAGCAGCGGGAGCTTGGGCCACGGCTCGAAGAGACCAAGTGGGAGGTGGGCCAGACCAGGAGGGGCTGGGAGCAGGGACACACAGGGACAAGCCCTGGAAAGATGGGCCCAGCCACACACCCCCTCACCCTGCCACCCTCAGAGGGCCTCCCCTTCTTAACCTCTGTGAGAGGAGGGTCCCCCTCTGATGTCCCTTTCTGTGTGGGGTTCTCCTTGTATATCCAGGTCAGGTCTCCTCATCAGCCCATTAGTCTGGTCTAGTGCCCACATAGCCAGTGGCTCTCCCATCCCACTGCCTCCCAACCAATAGTAAGAATGTAGGGCTTATGTTACGTAAGTGTGTCTTTTACACCTCATAACAACCCTATCAGGTGGATACTGTTAATATGCCCATTTTATAGATGAGTAAACTGAGGCTCAGAAAGGCTGGAGCCCAAAATCACACCTGGCAGTGGCAGAGCTAAGATTGGAACCCACTCAGTGTGGCTCTGACATCTATGCTCTTAACCAGAACACCTTTCATCTGGAGATGTGGACACTGCCCTCGATTGCTGTGACACCTGCCACCACCCCATCCCCAGCACTGGGCATTTCTTCCACAGTGTCTTATGATGGTTTAAAGACATCAGCTATGAAGGAAAAAGATCTGGGTGTGCGTTCCGCTGTAGCCACTTACTAACCATAATACCTTCGGCATATCACTAGACTTGCCTCAGTGTCTCCATCTGTAAAGTGGGGACCATGATTGAACCTCTTCTCCCCAAATGTCCAGCCTAATGCACAGGGCTTGATCCCCCTCCCTCTGGGAGAACCCTTCTCACCATCTTTCCTGATTGCCTCCCACCCCCAGGTGTGCCAGAAGTCAGGCGAGATCTCCCTGCTGAAGCAGCAACTGAAAGAGTCTCAGGCAGAGCTGGTGCAGAAGGGCAGTGAGCTGGTGGCCCTGCGAGTGGCGCTGCGGGAGGCCCGGGCTACACTACGGGTCAGTGAGGGCCGGGCACGGGGCCTGCAGGAGGCAGCCCGGGCAAGGGAGCTGGAGCTGGAGGCCTGTTCTCAGGAGCTGCAGCGGCACCGCCAGGAGGCTGAGCAGCTGCGTGAGAAAGCTGGGCAATTGGATGCCGAGGCCGCCGGACTCCGGGAACCCCCTGTGCCACCTGCCACCACTGACCCATTCCTCCTGGCAGAGAGTGATGAGGCCAAGGTGCAGCGGGCAGCAGCTGGGGTTGGGGGCAGCCTGCGGGCCCAGGTGGAGCGGCTGCGGGTGGAGCTGCAGCGAGAGCGGCGGCGGGGCGAGGAGCAGCGGGATAGCTTTGAGGGGGAGCGGCTAGCCTGGCAGGCGGAGAAGGAGCAGGTGATCCGCTACCAGAAGCAGCTGCAGCACAACTACATCCAGATGTACCGGCGCAACCGGCAGCTGGAGCAGGAGCTGCAGCAGCTCAGCCTGGAGCTGGAGGCCCGGGAGCTCGCAGACCTGGGCCTGGCCGAGCAGGCCCCTTGCATCTGCCTGGAGGAAATCACCGCTACTGAAATCTAGGGCCCTTGGCATCCATCTCTGTAGGGAGCTCTGCTGAAGAGGGGCAGTAGCCGCAGATCCACTCAGGCCCTGGGACACACTGCAGATCTCAAAGTCTGAGGGCCCAGAGCCACTCATTCCCTGGGATCCAAGCCTCTAGGCTTCTGCCAAGAATTTGGGGTAGCTCTATGACTTGGAGGAGCAAGATCAGACCCCTCAAAGGTCCCCATGTTCACTGTCACCCAGAGGCTCCTACTCACTCTACCCACTTCACTCTGCAATTGCTGCCAGTGCCACTCTGCCATCCCTATTCACCGCAGATGCTCACCAGCCCACTCCAGCAAGGGAGCTGGGAAGAGGAAGGGACTCCCTTATCTCCACATTCTCCCCCACCCCAAAGCCAGAGAGAGCCAGACGGCACCAGCTGCTCCAGATGTGCCTGCCCCCACTCTGAGGGACAGGGCTGGGACGGGGGTCTGATCCCCAGATTCCAGCTCTGCAGCCTCTGTCCTAGAGTGAGAGGGCTGAAGTCAGACCAAAGGAAGAACTCAGAAATGTCTTGTTTATTTGTGTTTGTGACCAACCAGCCCCTCCCCTCACCCAGGTTTATGGCCTCGTTTTCATTTGTATACTTTTCACACTGTAAATTTCTTGTACAAACCCAAAGAAAAATGTAAAAAAAAAAATTTTTTTTAAAGTGAATGTGCTGGATAAAGATTATGGGAACTTGTTTAGCCCCCATCCCCTTTATTTGCTGGCCACTCCCCTGAGAAAGGGTGATGGAGGAAGGACAAATCCAGTAGAAAGTCTGAGGTCCTAGTGGACCACAACATGAAATGCTCTCAGGGTTTGAGGGCCTAGAGAAGACTTCCCTCCTGTCCCTTGCACAGAATGCTGCTTGGGGCTGAGAAGTGGATATGTTGACCCCTTGAGGGCCCTATCTGAGAGTCCATGTCCCTCAATGCATGGGGAATCAAAGGGGGGCATCACAAAGTGCCCACCAATTCCAGGCAGGCTCCAGACCTTGGCTTTCTCAACCCTCTTCCTGTCTTGGAAGGTTGGGGAACAGTGAGTGCAGGTGACACAGCCTTCCCACTAGCACCTCGTCCTTGGACACTAAGTTTATCTGGAAAGGGCAGAGCCCTAGTGACGACTGGGGAGGGAAGAAAGTGGTAAAATCAGAGCCACCTGTGTGGAGTAGGCAGGACAAGCGGGAGTGGGAGGTTCTTAGTCCTGAGAAGGTTAGTAGGCGAAGTCCTGGAGATGGCAGGAGGCTTCTGGGGGTCAGTGGGAGAATCTGCGGTCAGCGGGAAGGGTCATGGGATAAGCGGGGAGAGTCTGGGCTCTGTGCCAGAGAGGGGACTGAGCTGGGCGTCAGCTGGAGGGCCCTGGCATCAGTGGGAGTGTCTGGGTGTTGGTGGGCAGGGCGTTGGTGGGAGGAGTCTGGGAGCCAGTTGGGGGTAACTGAAGCAGCATCGAGGGGTTGGGCAGGGCAGTGGTCAGCAGGAAGGTGCTGACCAGTGAGGGCTAACAAGCCCGAGGGTGAGGGTAGTGGGCTGGGCCCTGGGACCCTGACCACAAGCTCCATGGGCTCCCGAGCCTTGTTTCGATAAGCCCGACGGATGGTGTCTACTGCTCGCTGGTGGGTCACCTGCTCCAGGCTTTCTCCATCCACTGCCACAAGCTCAAAGCCAGCCTGGATGGGAGTGGGAGAACCACAGCCCTTTCTCCTCATGTCACCCCCACCCCATCCTGGCCTGAAGCAGGTCCTCTCACCTTCCAGCAGCTAGGGCACTCCTCCCCTGTCTGGGTGGAGAGGATGGACAATGGGACTTTTGTGCCTGGAGCAGTTGGGGGCAGGGTGGGGCACAGACAAGGGCCCTTTGTCCCTTGGGGCTTGGGGTGGAATAGGATGGGCAGGCCTCAGGCTCAGGCTAGCATGAGGGGGCAGATCTTTCCCTAGACCTGCTCATCCTGTTCACCTGACCCCACTGTCCCCAAGCCTCCCCCCACGACCTGGCTAAACATGTCTGGCTGGAAGATGAACATGCACCAGCCCCACCCCACACCAGAACTCAGCTTTGGGCTGAGAGAGTGGGCCCGGGTGCTCCTCACCCACCTGCAGGGCCCCACTGAGGAAGGCGGCCCCTCCGGGGAAGATCTTTTCTATCTTCACCATGGGCTGCACCTTGGACTCGATGCCTCCAGAAATGCTGATGCCTGGTGATGGTGAGAGACACTGGTGAGAGTGCAGCCAGACCCCCACCCAGATCTCCCAGGAGAAACCAGGGACCCCATCCCCAAATCCAGGGTTTCCAACTTTTCCCAAACACCAGGTTCTGTTATTACTCATGTCTCACTCCAAAATCCACCAGCCTCCGACCTCCTCAACTCTAGGCCCCCCACCTATACCCCAATACCCCAGATTCTGTTCCTAGGCCCAGGTCCCATAACCACACCCCAAACCCAAGCCCACCAACATCACCCAAACCTGAGACCCCCCTGCCAGACCCAGGCCCACCTGGACTCACCCAAGGACTGCTTCATCTTGGACAGCGTGACTGTCCTCAGCTCTCCACTGGGGGCCTTCATGTCTGTGTCCTCAGGTGTCCTGCCAGTTCCATTCTCCAAGGGCCCTTGCCCAGCCCCCACTTTGGCTGCCTGCCCATCCAGAGGTCGAGGCAGAGGGGGCCTGGCCTTCCGAGGCTTATGGCAGCGCCCATTGGCCACGCTGGGAGTGGGGATAGGCGCCGGGGATGGGGAGCGTCTGCGTCCAGGGGACTTGCCTCGAACCCGGCTGTGGCTGCGGCTGCGGCTGTGGCTCTGGGCCAGGCCCTGGCCCTGGCTATGTGGAGTCTCCTCGTGGCTCGGGGGTTCTGTCAGCAGCCAGTTAGGCCGTGGGGGCCGGGGAGCCACGGGGGGTGGCTGGGGAGGGGGCGTGCAGGTGCGTCGGTGTGAGGCAAAGGCATCTACTGGCACGTCTTGGAGAGGGAGGACCCCTTTGTGAGGGTGGCGGGTGGCAGTGGCACTCAGAGAGAGCTTGAGGCCCCCCAGCTGCACCCCCAGCTCCCTGTCATCTTCCTTCTCTGAGACGCCATTCACAGGCAGCAGGTAGAAGCCTCCGCGGCTGTCTGGGGAAGATGGTCAAGGTCAGGCTGCCCCCTGCTCACCTCCCAGCCTGAGCACCTTCCAGACCCCAGTCCCTGCCTTTCTTTGTGCAGAGCCTGTGAGAACCAGGCCTGGGTTTGCTCGGGCCCCACCACAGAGTGTCCCGCAGTGACGGACACTGCCCACGGGGGCCGGCAGACAAACATGCTCCGTTATAACAGTAGTATTTTAATACTTTCTGCTGTAATAGTTACAGTTCTATTTTAAAGTGTCTAAGAAAAATATGGCTAGTACATCAAACTGGTAATTTCTTGGAGATTATTGCATAGAATGAGTCTCGATTTTAAAAGTGAGTGGGTTTAAAACCAACTATTAAGTAAATAATAGTACAAATGGTGAGCAGATGTGATAAAAATGGCCCTAGTGGACGAGGGTTTTCCTTCAGGAAACCACAGTGTACCTCTGAAGCCACAGCTGCCCCACGTGCGGGCAGGGACAGAAGACCTACTCTCCCTGCCCCAATCTCCCCCAGGTCATGCCCCTTCCCAGGCTCTGGGGCTCTCACTGACCAGGCACAGGTGTGATGAGATGACGCTTGGGTGGCATGTCCTGCCGGGTTGGTCTCAAAGCAGGAGGCCATACTGGTTGGAGAAGAGAACAGATCAGAGGCAAGGCACCCCTGCCAGGCTCCCTGATGGACACAGCTCAGGGCTCAGGCAATCTCTGCCACTGCCCCCACCATGGGATCCCACCCCCACCCCACCTGAGGCTCAGGATCCAGAAGTCCGACCCTCTCCCCGCTGCTGACCTGCCCTGCTCTTGAGGGCCTCGAAAGCCTCCAGCTCCACTGGCATCACCATGCTGTCGAAGCGGCCCAGGTCCGTGGGAGCCACCACACACCTGGGAGAGGGCAAGAGACGGAGGGTGGGCAGGGGCCCAGTTCTGGAGGTGCCGGCAGGAGCTTTAGCCGTGAGGAGGTTGGGGGAGGTCAGGGATTCCCTTACTGCCCTCACGCCCTTCCCTTCACTCCCTCCCACCTGATGTCCCTTAGCAGCAGCAGCTTCTCAGGCCTGTCTAGGATGGCCAACAGGGGCCGCACCAGGTCCTCCACGCCACCCTCGTGGACATACTGCAGATAGAGGCACCACAGGTCAGACAGCAGTGGGGACTTCCAGAGCTGGGTGAAGGGAAATGCCAGGGAATATAGGGGCCCTGGGACCCATCCAGCCCTCCACCCTTTAGGAGAGGTTCATCCACCCCCAGGCTGTCCGCAGGATGATCTTATCTTAGTGACTAGGTACAGGCCTCCAATAATAATAACAGACCTGTAATAAACAGCGAGCCTTTTACATATGGTCTCTCATTTAGCAACCACTCTGAGAGATGACATTAATTATTCCTGTTTTACAGATGAGGAAACTGAGGCTCAGAGAGAAGGATTTTGCTCAAAGCCACACAGAGAAGGAAGTGTGAAGAGGTACTGGAACCTGCGAAGTCTGGTTCTTGCCTGCTCTGGAACAGAAAAGGATGTGCAGAGAGTGGACTCTCCTCCCCACACCACCTCCCAGGCAGAAGGAAGGAATTAGAGCCAAACATGAGGCTGTGGGCCTGGCTGTCCCAGCACGTGTCTGCATACAGACCTACACATTAGGCTTTGTTCAGGGCTGGAATGGGGACCTTGGGGAAGGGGTGGCTCTACAGAAAGCCTCTCCAGTCAGTACCCTGGGGGGTGGCACCCCTTCAGCCTGGCACTGCCGGGATGCCTCCAGCCACACCCCATGGACTCGGAAGAACTGAACACTGGGAGTCGCCCTACTTGGACAGCATACTGCCCCCTAGTGGCGAGAGGGAGACTGATTCAGGAACATGTAGACATAGAACATCTCCTAAGTGTAGACACAGAGATAGAGCAGGCCCTGGTGGTCAGAGGGAGTCATTCGTAAATATCTGGAAATAAATAAAATATAAACTACGTGTGTGGCCCCAAACCACACACAAAGTTACAAGGACTCACACATACACATGTCAACAATACACTCCCTTTGGTTTGGAGAGAGATACATGTTACACAGAACCAACCACATATGTGCACACAGGTCAAGCCCACAAACCCTAACTCGGCAATAATTAAGTGCCAGGTCCTGTATGGGGCAGTGGGGGCACAATGATAAAGACCCTGTCTCCGATCCTCAGGAACTCAGTCTAGTGACTTGAGGTGCGGATGAGCCATGTACCCCAGCGAACTAGAAATCACGGGCAATGGGGCACAAGGAGTATCAGAGGAAGGTGGGAGGATCAGAGTGGGCTTCATGGAAGGGGTGACATTTACACTGACACCTACATGATAGATGCAGGAAACAGCATCAAAGCTGGGAGGAAAGTGCTCTGAGGATGGTGTGGAATAATGAGTAGACTGAGCTTCAGCTTGGCCATGGGGTCCATGAATAGCCTCCATGTAGGGCTGTGCAGGTTGTGACTATGTAAGTAGCACCCCCTACAGTTGTGCAGTGCATAACCTGCATAAATCTATGTGGTGGCTGTGGGAAAGCTGAGGTTAATGCGTTGGGGGGTCAAATCAGGGAGTCAAATGTGAGGGTAAGGAGCTTATACTCTATTCTGCCGAAGATAAGGGGTCCCTAGGTGGCTTGGGGAGTATAAAGTGAGCAAAGAGGTGGTTTAGAATTCCTGGACTGGTGGCTGTGGAGAGATGGCTTAGAGCGGGAGTGGGGGCCTGGGGGTCAAGGCTATACCTCTGAGTCACCAGGGGGACTTTACTAATCACTCAGGGCAGGGCTCCATCCCAGAGTGTCTGATCTCTTGGTGCGGGTGGGGCTTGGGTCAGGTTTGGATGGTAGGTAGACTCCGCAGGTCATATGGGGGCACAGTGAGAGGAGGCCCTGGTTTGGGCAAAGAAGGGGAGGGGAGGGATGAGGGGAAAGGAGTCTGCCAAAGAAACAGACAGAGCCCCACCTAGTGGCCAGAACCCAGAGTTGCAGGCTCCTCTTGCCCTGCAGAGCCGAGGTGACATCTACTGAGTTTAGCCCAAAGCCCTGAGCTGTCCCCTCCAAAGTGCACCTCCATCTGCAGTTCTGTTGTGGACCAGGCCTTGGTAAAGGGACACATGAATGACCACATCTCCATCTCCAGGTGACAATGAACAGATGCACACATGCACTAGCCAGACACATACACATACACACACACAGAGATAATCGTGCAGTCATGTTGACACGAACCCAAGTACCCCACAGAAACATCAATGTATACATCAAATGGACACACAGCACAGCCCCACCCTGAGCAAGACGAGGGGTGGGGTATGCACAGGCAATTTTCTGAAGCCTCTCAGCTTGCCCTCGCACACGGTGTGCACTGACACATGTTCCTCACAGGGAGCCTCTCACAGTACATCTTGGTTTTCCAGAGACAGAGCAGTAGGAGAGGACCTCCCAATCCTCCTGGAGGGGGTGAGCCATGCCCCCACAGCCTCCCCAATATTCGGGCTCCAGGGACTTCAATCTGACTCCTACCCCACCCCACATGGGTCCTCTGGTTCTGTTTGAAGTGGAAGGAGCAGAGAACAATGGCGCAGGTGTGCCGGGGAGGGCTGGGATGTGCACTTATTGGGTAGAAGGACAGGGACCTGGCATGAGGCTGGGCCTGCTGGCTGACCCAGGAGCAGGAGGGGGCAAAGGGGGGTTGGGGGAAGTCCAGGGGCTCAGAGAGGGCAGAGGCAGGTGACTACAGGGACTCACTTCTCCCCACTCATCCCCTGTCTAGCTCCTCTTCTCAGTTTAAATATTAGCTCCTTGGAGAGGCTCTCAGGGACTATGCCATCTAACGTGCCTCCTGGGTTGTCTTCTTACATCCTTTCCCTTCACAGCACTTGCCTGCCCTGTCACCGTGGGTGTTTAAGTTCTGGTTATCACCTGTATCCCCTTCCTTCTCTTAGTGACCACCGATCTCCCAGCGTCGAGCTCAGATACTGGTCAGTGGACAGTGGCCTGAATGAATGAAGGGCTGGGTGGCTGGGTGACCACATGCTGGGGCCAGAGGATTACCCGGGAGCAGTGGCGGGTGACAGCCAACACCTCATCATTGGTTAGCAGCCGCTGGGCCAGGTCTTGAATGAGGGGCTTCCGGCTCTCCCAGGCCTGCACCTGCTCATCCACATTGGGCAGCTGGCTGGAGGGGCTCCCGGACCTGGCAGAGAGCAGGGCCCGGCCCTTTTCCCGGTCTACAGGGCAGAAGCAGAAGAGTCTGTTGAAGGAGCCAGGAGCCATCAGGGGAGGGGCAAGGGCTTGTCTAAGTGGGGCCAAGCCCCAAAACAGACCGGCTGAGAGGCCCAGGTGACCAGGACAGAATCCCAGCCTAGCTCATGCACTTCCCACCACGATCTCCCATAGCAACCTGCCCACCAATGGAGCCCCAACCCCAGCCCCTCAGCCCCCACACCGACTGCTATACCAGTCTGTTCCTTAATGGAGTCTAGGCCTAGTGCCCCCTGGACACCTCAAAAGTACACTGTCAAATTAGTCTGTTCCCCATGGGAGTCTCAACACAAGCCCCCAAAATGCACCCCAATATCTGTCTCAACCCTATCTTTTCTAGTAATCTTAATCCAATTCTTTTAGCTGACCCAATATGTACCTATCTGCCTGATCCCCTATGCTTGACCCCAGCTGAGTTTAGTCCAAAGCCACTTAGCTGGCCCCCAACATGCACCCTCATCTGCTGTCCATTGCAAACCAGGTAAAGGGGTGCATGGGTTACCACGTCTCAGTCTCCAGGTGACGAACTTCTGCACAGGCCCCACGCCCCCTGCTATAAAGAAGAAACAGGCTCAGCTGCAGGCCTGGCCCCCAATCCAAAAATGAGGGTTGGGAGGGCTCAGGACTGGCTGGAATGGAGAGTTCAGGCTGGGAGTATGTGGGAAGTGGGGGAAAGAGGCCTGGCAGTGAGGGACTTTGAAGGTCATGCTCAGCTAAGGGACTTCATTCGCAGGCAGTGGGGAGTCGGTGGAGGTTTTGGATTAAAAGAGGGTGCAGCCTGAGCTCTACTTATGAAGATTAATTTGGAAGCAAATGTTTGAAGGGAAGAATCTGAAGGACAGAGCTTGGGGAGCACCTACCTTCTGGGGACAGACAGAAAAAGAGGAGCCTTTGAAGGAAAGAGAGGAGTGGCCAGAGAAGTGAAAGGAGAACCAGGGGAGAGCAGGGCCCTGGGAGCTGTGGGAAGAGAGATGGGTCGAAGGAAGGGCCCTGGCTGGCTCTAATGTGAAGGGATCTTCTCTCTCATGGGACCATCACCTTGAGACCCCAGGACATCTGACTCCAGGATGGAGCAAGATCAAGTGCCTCATCCTCAGGCTGTTTTCGCCTAACCAACACCCACTCCACCTTTTGGAAACAGCACCCTGATTTTCTCCTGGGGACCCACCCCAGGTACTCAGCCCATGTACTCCAGGGTGGGCACATGACCCAGGCTGGCCAATTAAAGCACCTTGTCTCTCTCCCACATCACAGTGATTTGTTCAGCATGGCATGTGATCCCAGCTGGGCCAGTGAGAGCCCACCCTGGGACTTCAGCTGGAACTATTTAAGGAGAAACTCTCTTCCTCTGGGCTTGCTAAGCACTAGTAGCCATCTTACCTCCAAGTTGGCAAAGCCACATGATAATGAAGCCAACCCATGGGAAAGATGGAGGGGGTAGATGGTAGCGTTCTGATGACATTCTTCAGACCTTTATACTGAGCTTAAATCAGTAGCTGAGGTAAGAAATATTTGGTTTTCTTTTTTGGCAGCTGGCTAGTATGGGGATTCGAACCCGTGACTTTGGCATTATAAGGCTGCATTGTAATAAAAATAAGTGCTTTTTTAAAAAGCGATTTTGAGGGCTGACCAAGTAGGCTCAGTTGGTTAGAGCATCGTGCTGATAACACCAGGATCCAGGGTTCAATCTCTGTACCGGCCAGCTGCCCCCTGACCTCCAATAAAATTACGTAAAGCTACTTTGAGTTGAGTTTCCCCCACATGCAATTCCAAAATCTTAACTCATCCACTCTTGGTCTAGTTTCTGAAACTCACCAGAGAGATGAGAGGGACTCTTGTGAGGGTCCTCAGGAAGCCTCTGACATAAGTACAGCCTGGGCTGGGCCCTTCTGCCTTGGCCCTAAACTAGAAATGGTCGTGCTGAAGGATGGTTCTAGAACTGGTGGAGCCAATGGAGCTCTGGCCGGAGGATGTAAAGCCAAACACTCTAGGAAGAGTGTGCCCTACCGGCACCACCACCACTACCAGGAGAACAGGGCTCTGACCTGAGCTCTTCCACTCCCTTGCTGTGCTGTGACTCTGTTTCCCTTTCTGTGAAATGGGGAGATGAGGCAGTATAACAATGACCACTACATTTTCTGAGTACCTTCTGTGTGCCAAGGTACTACGTGATTTACATATGCTAACTCACTTATTCCCCACTACTCCTAAAGAAGTAGATACTATTTCTCTCATGTTACTCTTGAGGACACTGATGCTTCCAGGAGTTGAGAGGTGACTCATAACTGGTAAGAGGCAGTGTGGGATTTCAACCTAGAACTGCTGGATGCCACAGCTGGTGGACTTTTCCCTGTCCTCCCTGTCCCATCAATCCAGGACTTACCTTTCTCCAGGTCCAGGCGAGGGCGTGCTTTGGCTGGGCTCCCACTGTCCAGTGTCCAGGCCTCTCTGCGCCCGTCCCCTGCTAGCCGCCCCTGCCGCCCTCCCTTGAAGAAGAGGTTCATCAGTGTCTTGGAGCGCTGCAGGGCACCCTTCTCCCCAGGGGACCCCGACTTCTTCTTCCGCTGCTTCTTCTCCTCTGCAGACACGAGGGAGCACCCGGGGGGCTGGAGGGGTGGGCAGAAGGGAAGGACAAGGGGCAGGGGTGTGGGGAGGAGCAGAGAGAAGGGAGAGTAGGGAGCAGGCAGGATCTGCAGCCGTGTGGGGGGTAGGGTGG